GGTAGCAAAGAAATGCTTGACTGGAACGCTCGTCATTTCGAAAACCACTAGTTCTACTTTTTTAAACGAAGGCCATCATGGGTATTTTTTTAAGATGTATACCGTTATAGTTGTCGTTTAAGTCGTTAACGATAGTAGATCATTAACGACGTGTTTTAACTGAAGAATGGGGGGATGGGGCACAAGGGGGTTTCCCCATCCAAAAAAAACGTTACTTCCATTAGTTTTTAATTTGAAATTATTCCCTCTTTTGAAGAACGGTGCTATAGTGCCGTTCGTTAATATTTCTAAAAACTGCGGTCGTTCAATGGAATTTGTCATAGAGAAAGGAAACAAAAACGTATTTGCCATTTTCTGTTGTGTGCACATGCCCCTTAAAATTCTGAAACAGAGAGAGGGGGATTGAATTTTGTAGATCCAGAAAAATAATTAAATTAGTATTTATTTGTTTAGGTTAAGCCACTTTCTGGGCCGAGCGCTGCGGCTAGGACAGGCTAGGGGGCCGAGCGCTGCGACCACATGTCTCACATTTAGGACTCCACCAGCTGCCAGTCTCTACTTAGGCATCCCACAGATATTATTTTTATGGATCTACAAAATTCAATCCCCCTCTCTCTGTTTTGGAATTTTACGGGGCATGTGCGCACAACAGAAAATGGCAAATGCCAAACGAAAAGTTAAAGCTTACCTCAGATGTACACAATCGACCTCCTTATTAATTAATCAATAGTGTGGTTGGTTGTATACATCACGATATGTTTACGTATTTGACACTGTACACTTATATATAGAGTGATCGTATTTCTAAGGGGATTATATGGAATTGATAAAGTTTTAGATTTTCTTTCTTTATACAACAAGAGAATTGGAGGATGTTGACTGCAAACACTTGACAATTTTCAATTATCTACATTTTACCATCACCTATGTAGTTTGTACAAGAAAAATAAAAATATTAATGGTCACGGTTATTTCAATCTAATCAGTATCACACGTGCTTTTATGGTTATGTTATATTTTCCTTTTTAATTTTTAAAAAGTTTTTAAAATAAATTTTAATTTTTTTTGGGTGAAATAATTTGTTAATTTTATAAAAAGTCAGTATACAACTTTAAATTTGTTACTAATTCAGTCAATTATGAACTCAAAGTTTTATTCTGTAGAATTTAGTATTTCAAAAATTATATTCTTCCTATAAAAAAATAAAGAAAAAAGTTTAAAGAGAAGGAAAGAATATAAAGAATGGGATGGGAAGAATATAAAGAATGAAGAAGGGAAGAATATAAAGAATAGAGAAGAGAAGAATAAAAAGAATGGGATGGGAAGAATATAAAGAATGGAGAAGGGAAGCATATAAAGAATGGAGAAGGGAAGCATATAACGAATGAAGAAGGGAAGAATATAAAGAATGGAGAAGGGAAGAATATAAGGAATGGAGAAGGGAAGAATATAAAGAATGGAGAAGGAAAGAATATAAAGAATTGAGAAGGGAAGAACATAAAGAATGAAGACGGAAAGAATATAAAGAATGGAGAAGGGAAGAATATAAAGAATAGAGAAGAGAAGAATAGAAAGAATGGAGAAATGAATATTTCATGTACAAGATAATATAAATTAAATTGTTGTTGTGTATATCTATGTTGTATATTTTCATATATAAACAAAATATGTTAATTAAATTACATAATGATGATAATAATAAGGCAATATAATACATACTTTGAATACATGAAAATTCTCTGAAGAATAAAGAATAAATATATAAAATATTAGACAGTTATACAGGGGGATCTAGAGTAACATGAAAATTTTCTGAAAATGTCAAGAAATACCAGGAATCCCTATGTATTTATTTGTAATCTTCTAAATTAATTGTGAACATGTTCTCTTTGTTTACATCGTAAAACAAAACAAAAATAATTCGCGGATTTTCACAAAAAATTTCGTGGATTTTCAAAATTTTCAAAAATTTAATGAAGATCGAATTTTGATGGAGACAAATATTTGAAATTTTGATCATTCATAAACCTTCCAGGCTTCCCTGGGGTCCCTAGATGTCCCACAAAAAATTTGGGCCCGAACGTTCAGCCGTTTTGATGTTTATTGGATACAAACAAACAAACAAATTTATATTTAGAAGTGTACTGCAGATTCTGGGATCAGTTTAAACAAACTCTGCTCAGGCTTTAATAAACATCGTAGCAAATCCCATATTTATAAACCTAAACACACCTAGATAAATTATATTGTACATTGTAACCTAACTGCGGTTGTAAATAACTACGTAAACTTGTATTGCGATTAATCTAACTACGATTATAGATATCAATGTAAAACTTGTGAGAGTAATTTGTTCCTCGTTTAGTGGAAACAATTTCATTACAAGGCTAAGATTTGTCAGTTTACAGCAACATTCTACACATGGGGCCTGGGGGGTGTAAGAGGTGCTGTTGTGAATCGCATAGGCCACTCTACATTTCCTGAATAAGTAGTTGTAGGTTAAAGGGAGTGACCGGCAATGTATGGTGGTTGAACTGAATATGTAGTATTGAGGAAAAAAATTTCAGGATTAATTTAGACATATAAAACTATTCTAGGACGAATATTTACTAAGTTTGATCACAAAGTCAACTTTAAAAATCATCTTTTTGGATGGATAGGATTAATCACAAGTTTTACTAAAACCATCTCAAATGAATCCGAGAAAATTTGTCTACAATACTACATATTTAATTGAACCACCATACATTGCCGGTCACTCCCTTTAACATCCCGTTGTAAGTGGGGTTTTAATGTTAAATGGGGATAAAATAAAAAAAATCAATCACAAGTTTAACTAAAACAAATTTGAATTATTCTTTTTTTTGATTGATTCGCATAAAACGATATTTCTGACAATATCACGTTAATCTGCCTGGGGCGGGGTATTCAATACAATCTCTGTCTAAATTATACTGATAGATAATTTACTTATGTAGATTGAAACCTACAACTCGGAATAATAAAGATACCAATCTCTGTAAATGCGGAAATTAAACTGTTAATTCATTTTAGTATTTTGACATTTGCCTTTTTTAGAGGATTGGACAATTCATAGATAGGACATTTCTTAGACAGGACATTTATAAATAGAACATTTTAACACTAAGACATTTCATAAATAGGACAATTCATAAATAGAACATTTTAACAATAAGACATTTCATAAATAGGACATTTCATGGATAGGACAATTCATAAATAGGACATTTCATAAATAGGACAATTCATAAATAGAACATTTCATAAAGTATGTTCCCTGGCCAGCGATGGTTTCTCAAGCTAGTGATCAATAATTAAAATATATATCGTATCATTGGAATGTTATTTATTATGAAATGTGAATGGTCAAAAACTGATCAAAAAAATTATGATAAAATACGATAAAAGCATGAATAGTGTAGGAAGAGGAAACGTTACGTCATGATAAGCAGTCGGATAAGCTGTTCTTTATTCATACCTTCTATATAGCCTACATCCATACATTACAATTCAAATATGTTGCGCGGTTCTATAATCTCAACTTTGTATTAAAGTATATTCTAAAATATGTGTATATGTTGTATTAAATAAATACAAAATTGTGGGATAGGATTAAAAAATCAACCTAACCTTTTCATGAATGAGTAAAGCTGTTCTGTCAAAGTCTCATTCTAAAACCTTGGAAAATTTGTAGTTTGGCGAGATGCATTTGGTTTCTTCTATTTCAATTCAACATTTTTTAAACATACAGATTTGTCTTCTTATACTTATTCATTCTAAACACATGGACGAACAAAAAGTTTTAACGAAAAAGGGCGAAACAATTATGTTTAATGGATCAAAATGTGATCGAAAGTCAGAGTTCTCTTCAATAAGGACCGAGCCGTTAAATCCGCGTGAAGTACCCATCGTTGTCCACCCATTTACCAGAGCTGGGTATTAAATTATAATTTTATCTGCACAGTGCCTAAAGAATGTTAGCCCATGTATCCGGGGTATACCCATGGATTCCCTCAAAAAATATCAGCTAATTTTGTACAGCCGTTTGGCCAGCTATAGCGAACATATATATATATTATATTTTGTTATATAGACGTGCAAGGAGGGAGGCGGCTGTGGGGGGTGGGGTAATGGGATCCTATACAAGAAAAGCTAAAAAACTTTATAAAACATTTAAAAAACAGTTTATTTTTTACAGCCTTGATGTTTCTGAGAGTTTTAAATTAAGATTAAAAATTTTAAAATACAAATAGTGGTTTAAGCCTTTGAGATCGAATGTCTGGCAATAAATCATATATTAAAATGTAATCGATGTCAGAATAATTCTTTTAAAAATGGTTTAAAGATTAACTTTATAATCAAACCTTTCCTAATTTATTAGTAAACTGATTTAATCGTACATTAGAATTAAAATCCACGGGACGAGAAGAATTTATAATTGCATACACACTACACAGTCCATACGTTCCTAACTGCAGCGTCAATGTAAATAGGAAGAAAATTGATGCGTTAAAACCAGGGGGGATGATAGTTTCCTACATGTGTGCTCCAGTTAGCTTTACAGTACACTTACAACTGTTTACTAATAATGATATTCTATAGGTTAGGCAAAATCTCCTTATAATAAACAAATATGCAGTACACTCTCGGTATAGTTCATGGTCTATGCAATTAGTAAAGGATTAGCATACATCATCACTGTATACATTTTAACCGCGTTGGTTAAATCAATATAAATTCTAAAATACGACATTCTGGAACATCTTTAACTATAATCTGTTTAGATGTTTATGAGTGAAGGATTAACACGTTTCCGGGGCAATCAGGTCCATCCCATTCCATCCCTTTCCATCCCTTCCTATCCCCTTCCCATCCCTTTCCATCCATTCCAATCCCATCCCTTCCCATGGTTACCTTATCAATTATTAGAATACTTTTATAAGCCTAAACCAAAAATCATTTTAAAAAAAATAATTTTTAGCTTTTTTAGATCTAACAACAACTGTAAATACTCGTGTGAGAAAACCGGAGGATGCACGGTATTTTAATTATTATTGTTATTGTTGTTATACGGTGGTAGGCGATTTTGCCAATACAATGAAGACGACTTTCGAATTTGATTTTGATTTTAATCAGGATGTTAAACAGCATAGATATACATAACTAGACAAGTCATGAGAACTTAACCATTAAAAAAGCTTCTCTTTGATTACTTGTAAACTTGTAATTCGAAAAAAGATTGTTAACAATCAAAAGTTAAATAAAGAAGTCGTCTTCATTGCATTGATATAATACCACCGTATATAATTGTTGTTCTTATTAATTATCTAAATAAAAGAAACATACTTTTGTATTTTTTATTGTCAATTATTATGAAATAAATGAATAGTGGTTTCTTAAGATTTTATGCAAAGTATGCATTTTTTATAAGATATTTGTTATTATTTCTTTTATTATTTTTCTTACAGAATGTCAGTAGTATTCCTATCATTTTTGATGCTTTTATTTGAATTCCTATTATTATTGTTTCCATTATTTTTACTCCTATCATTAATATTCCTTTTATTATTATTCCTATTATTGGTATTCCTACTATTATCATTATCATCATCATTATTATTTAAATATTCAGGTTTATTGGACTGGGTTAAGTAGAAGTGGTTTTACGAGAGGTAATTTATTAAATTGATCATCTAATTGATAAATTATATAATTTGATATATTTTTAAGTGTTTATAAAGAATTACAGAACATTACAGTTAGTTTAGACAGTTCTCGTTTTAAAGATGGACATATCATTTTTGTGAAGAAACGATTTTCTTGGACGGTGGTATCGTTAACGAACAAATTGAAAAAAAACCGACCGCGTCATCTCTAGTCCTATTTATTCTGTATTGTGGTCCCACCAAACATTTGGTAATAGTTTAAAATGTCTTCTTCCAAAATTTATTAAGTTTTTTAATACCAAAGAGAATAATAAGATATATTATATGCCAATTGATACACTATTTTATCAAGGAATATACGGCAGTCATTATACATAGTCAAATTCATTTCCCATTAAAATATTATGAGTAAAAGATTTTTTTAACTATTAAGTGCAAAAAATATTGATTTATTACGTACAGTGTATTGAAAGAAGACATTCAAAACTTTTCACCAATTATCATGTCTGTACAATTGTAAATTGTACATTGTACAGGATGTCCGCAGAAAATAATAGAAGTAATGTGACTTTTTGATGTGTGCGTTATCATTTTTTGATTTTTTAAAATCAATAATTTCCATGTTTATGGGAAACCTCTGTATATTGTACAATGTACACATATTTAGGGTACTGTACAAGTAGTGGTAAATGTGCCGCAACACCGCCAGAGTGCTCTGACTGCAATCAGTACTGTCAGCACTACAGGTCATTATTACAATCAGTAGCTTTGTTTTCTCTCAACCAAACTTCCATTTCATCATTTTTTCTCAAATTCGTAT